CTGGGGGAGGCTGGGCGGGCTGTCAGTCGGGTGGTCCCAGCTCTGTGGTGTGTGCTGCGGTGGCCTTTGGGTTGGATGGACCAAGCAGAGCTGCATGGACTGTACGTCTCCCTAATGTTCCTCCTGTGTTCTGCTTGGGGATTTTGGGCATCAGCCTGGCCCTGAACTTTGTCTCTTCTGGTGCAGGTATGGATTCAACAGCCACGGCCATGCTGCAGTGGAGCGCAGGCTGCGGGCCCGGCAGGAGACACAGCTGAGGTTCACTGAAGGTGAGCTCTTGAGGCTGCAGCCTGGGTTTGGGGGTTTCCCATGTAGCTGTGGGCTAGGAAAGATGTGTGATGCCAGTGTCCAGGCATAGGAGGGCACTGGCCAGAGCGAGGTGCGCTCAGACAGGAGGAACCCTCTTGGGGCTGTTGCGTCTCCCCCTTGGTACTGTGACCAGGCACGATTCTCCTGCCATTTTCTCTGTCACAGAGGCTCTGCTTCCTGCTTGGGGCAGGACGTGTCCACTGAGACTAGCCCAAAGCCAACAGGGGCCCAGCTGAGTGGTTTCCAAGGGCAGCCTCTGCTGGGTGGTCAGGCTGGAGACTGCAGTGCTGGGAGATGCTAACTAGGGCAGCTGTGGTGATGCTCCTGCGGCTGCAGGACAGTCCCAAGCCCATCCCCATGAAACATGTGGGCTGCACATCCCCATCTTGATTTTAGCAGGTCATGTGGCGTCCCTTGTTAGGTGTTGTGGCCCCTCGGGTGGTGGTTGGTCTTGCTGCCGTGGTTCAGATGCGTCTGTGTTCCAGCGGGGATGCCCCTTGGAGTCAACCTGGGCAAAAACAAGAGCTCTACTGATGCATCAGCTGACTACATGGCTGGGGTACAGACACTGGGCCCCTTGGCTGACTACCTCGTTGTGAATGTGTCCAGCCCAAACACCCCAGGGCTGCGAGACCTGCAAGGCAAGGCTGAGCTGCAGGACCTGCTGACCAAGGTGGGTGGTGAGGTCAGCCAGCCTGGACCACAGCTGCAGCACTGTGTGCAGTCAGTGGTGGTTTCCTGGAGCAGTGGGCAGAGCCACCACGATGTCCCCTGATCAGCCACTGGCATGGGGTTCTCTGGGGCACTGTACTCCAGCAAAGGGCATCTGACCAGGGAGGCGTTTTCCCTCTGCTTTACTCCTGCAAGGGGGCAGTGAGCCATCCACTGCACGGCATAGGGAGTCACTGTGGTCCTGCGTGGGTCGTGTGACCCGGGCCCTGTGCCACAGGGTGCCCGTCCCATCAGCGGTGCTGTGTGGGGAGAGCAGGGGCCTGTCCCTGCGCCACCTGTGGCGACGGGCGTGCATCTGCGTGGTCTGGGGTAGAGGATGTTTCCCCCAGCGTGTTGCTCTGTGTCCCCACGTGTCCACTGCAGGTGCTGGCAGAGAGGGACGTGCTGCCCTGTGAGCACAAGCCAGCTGTGCTGGTGAAGATTGCCCCTGACCTCAGCATGCAGGACAAGCAGGACATCGCTAGTGTTGTCTGCGAGGTGAGGAGGCAGGAGGGGAGGCCGGTGTGCCTCCTGCTGACCTCAAACAGTGCCGGGCAGGACCAGCTGCTCCTGGCAAGCTCTCTCTGAAGGCACAGGCAGGCCTGCAGCTCTTTGTCTGCTGTAGAGTCAGCGTCCTGGGTAGTTCCAAGTCGACGAGGGCCTGCGTGCATCACCAGGACCTTGGGGGTGGTCCAGGCAGTGAGGGACTGCTTTGTCCCTGGATGTGTTACTGGGGCACTTGCTGAGGGGTTCCTGGCAGTCTGGCCTGGGCATGAGAGTGGGGGCTGCTGATGGCAGCTGTGCCCTCATGCTGCTGCCCCCCTCAGCTAGGTGTGGACGGGCTGATCATCAGCAACACCACCGTGAGCCGCCCCAGCAGCCTCCGGAGTGGGCGTCGCATGGAGCCGGGCGGCCTCAGTGGGAAGCCCCTGCGGGAGCTCTCCACACAGACCGTCAGGGAGATGTATACCCTCACGCAAGGTAGGGGCAGAGCAGAGCCTGGGGGCACGTGTGTGTATCACCGGTGCTGTCCTGACTCTGCGCCCGCCTGCAGGGCGGGTGCCCATCATCGGGGTGGGTGGGGTGAGCAGCGGGCGCGATGCCCTGGAGAAGATCCGTGCCGGAGCCTCGCTCGTGCAGATGTACACGGCGCTCGTGTACCATGGGCCGCTGGTGGTGGGGACAGTGAAGCGGGAACTGGAGGAGCTGTTAAGGTGAGCAAGAGGCCAGGGACCTCCCCGGGGAGCCCCAGGCCCAGGGTGGCTCTGGGCGCCTGCCCAGCGGTGCGCGGGGCTGACTTGGGGTGCCAGGCTGGCCCCGCCATCGGACGCTGTCCCCACGCAGGGAGCAGGGATTCAAGAATGTCTCGGAGGCCGTAGGAGCAGATCACCGGTGCTGACGCCGCAGAACCAAGGTCTAACCAGGAGGAGCTGTGGCCGAGCAGGGCCGCGTCTGACGCTTCCAGTGCTGGGTGCACTGGGGCTGAGCCGAGGTCCTGGTCCAAGCCCCTGCGGAGGGTCAGTGATGGGTGAAGCCGGGGTTGCACTAGTGGTGAGCAGGGTGGGGGCCTCTTCACTGGTGTCACGTTCTGGACTGCTGTGGGTTGGGCTCCCCAGCAGAAACGTGTGCTAGGTGAGGCTCTGCTGGGCTGTGGGGAAGGCACCTGGGAGGACAGCCCTGTGGGGGCTGTAGTGGCCTGGGTCCTGCTGCAGTGCTTCTTATGAGGACATCCCTTGAGTGGTACTGCCCAGGGCCATGGGCCAAGCAGTGTGTTGGGCGTCCCATCTGCCGCGGACCCTGCAGCCCCTCCTCTGACTGGCATTTGGTCCTCCTGCACCTCAGCCTCCACAGTAGGCTCTGCCCTCCCTGTCCTCCCTTCTCTGCACACAGTCCTGTAATAACCCTGCAGGCCCTGGATCCTACCCGACTGTCAATAAACGTTTGGCTCACCTGGTCCCATGTGCTGCTCTGGGGACACCCCTTGGGTCAGAGAGAAGCAGCCTGTCTCTCCTCGGCCAAGCAGGATCAGCTCTCTTGGTGTTTTTCCCGGTCTGTGCATCGTTTCCCAGCTGGTAGAAGCCGCAGGCTAGCTGGGCTCCAGGATAGATCCAAGCACGATCACCAGGGCTACCTTCGCAGAGACCTCTGCCAGGCCCTTGGGAGTACTTGGCTGTCCATTTGCTGGCAGTACACAGATGTTTGGAGACGGCTGTGGTTACAGCCCGTCCTTTGTTACGGGAAGCCTGTTTGTTCATGCTTCTGGAGGCTGTCGGTTTTGAGGCCTCTGGCATTGACTGTTGTTTTGCACCAGACTTCCTGCAGTCATCTCAAGGTTTTCTTGAGCAACACGGCCTGACCTGGACACGGCGCTCCCTCTTCAGCCTCTCACAATCCACCCTGCTGAGCAGGATTGCGTCACAGTGCTTCACCAAACTTTTTTAGAGGAGCAGCAGGGCTGCTGACCCTGCTCCGGGACCCTTGGCTCACACCAGAGCCAGTGCCCACCTGCTCCCCTCCCTCTGTGCTCCTCTGCGCCAGCCTCGTCGTTGCCTGGAGTCTCTACCTGGGACCACCTGTGCTTACTGCTGCTCTGACAGGGCTGTTGCCTGGCCTGCTGGCTGAGGTTTTGATGTGCTTTCTCTGGAAGGGGGCCTGGGAAGCTTTTGCTGTCCCAGTCTGAAAGTGGCTGTCATGCCTGTAGGAGCATGAGCTTGAGTTTCACTTTGTCCCACGGCACTGTGCTCTGCAGCTGCTTCATGACCGACTTGGAGACATTCAGTGCCTCGTGCTGCCATGGCCCCTGCCCTGCCACAGCCTGGTACGTGGGCTGTGGTGTGTGCCCCACAGGCAGGCAGGAGCTTCCCCCACCCTCCTGTGAGCTGTCCCTCTGTCCGAGCACACCTTGGGGCTGCTGAGGGGGCACAAGGGCACATTCATGTTGTTTCTGCCCCCCTGCCAGGGTGTGGCAGTCTCCTGGGGAGGGATGAGCCTGCTGTGCCTTTCTGAGTGCTGGCGTGGCTCACAGGTGGGTACAGCCAAGCCCCGATGCATCCTGTGCTGGGCTCCAGCCTGCGGTGTAAGTGTGGTCCCATGAGTACAACTGGTGCTGGGCCATGGGAAGCCCTGGATTGCTTGCGGGCACAGGCACCCCATGAAA